TTAGAAATAATATTCACAATTTCATATATTCCAAAAAACTTGAATAATCCAAGAATTTCTTGTATTGAAATTCTTGGATTATCATAAATTAGAGGAACATTACATTGTATATCATTTTTTCAATAAAAAAGAATAATTTCTAAAGTTACTAGAGTGAAAACTTTAATTATAAACCTAGCAAAAACATTCTATTTGGTATACCCAAAAATCAAGCTCTTTGGGTATACACAATTACAGACTTGTCAAACAAAACTTCTTTAAATAATTTTTAAATAATTTATTTTTGAAAATTTTTTTGTAATGTAAATTAATAATTGGTTTCAAGAAAAATTTATAAGATTTTAAAAGAATTTAAAAATTAAATAATAGATATGACTAAATTAGGTAAAAAACAAGTTAAATGACTGTAATGTCAAAGGCCTGAGGAGGAGGGATTAATTAATTAAAGAAAATTTGATCTAAAATGCATTGCTTACAAAGAATAAAATAGCTGTTTTTTTTTTCTTTTTTTAGTCTTGTCTGTGATTTAATATGGATATTGGAAGAAAAAAACGATGTGAGGTTTTTCACTAGTCTTATGTTTTACAACTGAATTTTAACTTAAATTTTTATATCCATTCCATTAAAAACCATTTTTAATTGGTTTTACCAACTTTTGAAAAACTTTTAAATAAACAATAGATTAGATATAATTAGATAATAGAAAAATTGCTTTATTAGAACATTAATTAAAATTTGCAAAAAAGTAATGTTATATTAAAAATATAATTGTCTATGATGATGATAGTTTAAAAATAATTTAAATTACTTTTTTATCTTGCAAGCATTTCAGTTTTATTGAGAAATATTATAGAGGTTGCGGCCAAAGTTCAAACGTTAAACTTGTACAGCAAGCAGAAGTACACGTTTGACGTTTGAACTCCAAAGTAAAACACGTTGTGCCATGCGTTCACATCATGCACTGACTTATGGGATATTGTTGAAAAATGGCAAAAAAAACGTTTAACAATGACAAATGTTACCAGTGAAGGTAAATAAACAAATTAAACTATTTTAAAGTATTTATAGGATGTTTAATAACACTAAATAATTATTTTTAATTAGCATTGTGTCTCCTACCACACAATAGGACTACCTCATAAATGCTTAAATAATCATTATTTTAATAAAATACAACATAATTTTAACCCCAAACACAAAAAAATGAAGTTTAAGCTGAACTTCTACTCACCATGCTAGATGTAGCAAACGCCATTGTCAACCTTCTAGAATTGCCAGATGGCGGTGCTCAATGCTCAACGTTTATGTTTTGGGCTTGAAAACATTGGCCACAATCTCTCTATTAATAGAATTGATATATTAAATTACAGGTAATTGGTCTGTAGATACTAAAAGTTTAGATTGATTGATTAATTAATACTAGGTACCTGTTCATTAATGCTGTATAGTTGATTCATTTGTTATTTATTACATATTAGCTTATTTAACATAATTAATAAATTTTGTTATTCAAATACTATGTAATGTGTAATTAATAAATATATTTTTTGTTTTTTTACCAGATAAAGATTCATCTGTAAGAGAAATCAATTCTAACAGCAAAGAAAGTGCATCTAATAATAATGAAATATTACTTAAAATGGTTCCAACACAGTGTATAAGAAATATGAATTTTACTCATCCTAAAAAGCGTATTGATTGGCCTATCAAGAATAATTCTGATTCTAGTCCTGAATATATTCCTGCTGGTATGATGGGTTCTTCAACAAGTAAGAAGAAAGCTGCAAATAAAACATGAAGCTATTTTGAACGTTTTTAAGAATTGACTTTTTTATCTATGTTTATATAAACATAATGAAACTTCACTGTTAATATATTAGAGAGGTTGAGGCAGACGTTTTAAACGTGTAAACGTGTAGGTTGGACGTTCGGCACCGCTTTCCCGTAAGCCTAAAAGTTTGACAATGGTGTTTAGATAGTCGGTGGAATCATGCTCGACATTCCAAACACCATCGTCAAACTTTTAGGCTTACGGGAAAGCGGCACCGAACGTCCAACCTACACGTTTACACATTTAAAACGTCTGCCTCAACCTCTCTATTGTTAATACGTGTATTGTTTTGACAATATAAAAGTTTCTATATTTCACGTAGAGAACTACATTGGAATTTTTTAAATATAGCATCATTTTTTATAATAATAAAAATTTACTGACATTTTATTATAATAATAAATTATATTTAATATAAGATTAATTTATTATTATTATTAGGATTATGTTATTTTTAATTTTTTTTTAAAGTAAAACTATGAAATATAGACAAGAAATATTTAAACTTCACACATTTCTTACATATTACTTTCCTGGCTGTTATAAAACAGGGAGAAAGTATTGTAATCAGTCAAATTTTGGTGCTAGGTTTATGCATTTCTCAAGGTTTCATTTCAGGTTTATGCATGTTTTAAGGTCCTGATTCCAAACATCAATAAGATGGAACAAAATTCCATGTGTATGCGAATGCCCTCCTGTATTTGCTTTATATCTTAGGACCAAAAATATTTCATAATTTGGCAGGAATACTTCTGTATATCAGACATTGATGCTATTACGTTTTAGAGATTATGACCCCTTACATTCCCTTGACTTATCTCGAGTGGGGTCAGACCTAATGAAAATTTCACTCATTAGCATTTACAATTTTTTTTGAACTAACCCCAAAAATAAGGCTTTTGCCTTTTTTCTAACTTTTAGAAATTATAATTGAAAATTATTGGACTTCCTGCTTCCCTTAACCAATATGGTGGAGTCAATAAACAAATAATCTGACTCCAGCAAATTTGAAATGTGCGACCCTGACTCTGACCTTTTCCTTTTTTAAATGTCACACTATGATTCCTTTTAAAAGAAAATTTTAACACTGAGTATCAGAATATTTTTATCTAAGATTTCTCTATAAAAAGTTGTACTAAAATTTATGATGAGAATCAAAAAATGGTTGTAACGAATTTACCTTGAAATGCTTTAGAGTATGTAAAGAAACACTACTTCATAACAGCCAAAAGAAATCCATCTATTAGTTAGTTATCAAAAATTGATTTAAATTTATTCATTTAAAAAGAAATGCAAAAAAGTGCAAAAAGTAATTTCTCCCATTCTGGTTACTATGAAAATAGTTATTTTCTTAAGGACTAAACTCAAGTATAGTGAAAACTGCTTAGGCGACCACCTGCATTCGACGGGCACCTGTCAAAACGAAAAAAAATTTCTGGCACAGAATAGTTTATCCATAGAGTCTTTGTATAAATTACCTGTATTAAACGACCACCTGTGAAACGCATCTATTTTTGGTCCGAAACAACATACAACAACTGTAATAAGCAACCACTTCCGCGAATATATCTGGTCTAAACTATTGTTCAACAATGTTTCCCCTTACTAATAAATATAATGAATTTGTCTAAACTGTCGTTCGAACCCACCTCGGGCACTTTTCCCACCCTTGAAATTACATGCAGGTGTTAATGAATTAGTCGCAACAAAGGAAATTCATTTCAGTTTGTTGGAAAATGTTGAAAGACGAAAGAAATGCAAAACGCTGTCGTTAGAAGATCGTGTTAAAATTATCAGAGAAAGTGAAATGGTTTATCACAACGGCAATTAGCGACAAAGTTTAACTGTGGGAAAACGAAATTTATTTAACCATAGACCTACAGTGTTTTCCTTAGGTGTATAAAATATTGTACACGATGCAATTAATCGGCTGATCTCATCGTTTGATAAAATTTATTTTTATTTATTTATTTTGAAGCTCATATAGAGTACTGTACATGTGCGATAAATAGTTTCTGTATCAACCTACCTTATTTCCAGGATATTTTTAGAAAAATAATATCCAAGTAATTTTCGCACGCAAAATATTCAAAAAACAATAAACGCATTAATGAAAAAAATCAGTTTTACAGGCAACCTTCCTTTTTCGATTCCGCGGAATGTAATGAATCGTATAATGAGAAAATATAATAAAATTGTTTTATTATTAATTAATAATTTTTCTTATTGTACTTAAGAAAATATTAAATATTAAAAAATACAGTATTTTTAAAGTTAAAATAAGATTAAACTAACGAATACCAAAACCAAAGTGATGTAGAGATATGACGCGCTTGTATATCGATGACGTAATACACGTAACCAAAGAGCAAATCAAAACAACTAAGTTGAATTAAGTCCGAGAAAAGAAAGTGTGCATTATAATCGAGAAAATGCGACTATTGTCTTAATCTTTAAAATATTGGTATTAAATCTGTCTTATAATATCACAATGACTCCTGTAAATCAAGTTATCCGATAAGAATAAAATACAATACCAATACAGCCCTACTGTTGAAAAAATTCACTTATTTTTGCTCACCTCGAGTTTTGCTTAGTAGAAATGGCTAAAAAAAAGTGCACAAAATACGTACAGAAATACGGTATTACAGCACCACCTATATTGGACGACCACCTGTCTAAAAGACCACTTTTTGAAGGAACCGTGGGTGATCGCCATAGACAGGTTTTACTGTATTTATTTATTTTATTCCTCTTATACATTTACTTTTACTTACTTCTAAAAAAATTAACAAAGAATATATGTTAAACCAAAAAGTAAGCAGTTTTATATTCATTTAAATAATAAAAAATTTAAAATACATTATAGTAATGTAATGTATTTTAGAGTTTTCTAAATGCATATAAACTAATTCAAACTATATCAGACAAATTTTAAAATTTACTTAATTTCCCAAATCTTGGCTGGGCTGTAAAAATGTGTAGTAGCAAGGAACAGTCTATTTACTTAGTGAAGGGAATGAATTATTGATGAATCTTTGATAAGGTCACCAAGCACTACCAAAAAGGGACTTTCAAATTTAAAAAATCTTTCAGAGCCCCAACTGAGTAATGTGCATTGCCCAACCAAGAAATAATCTGTATCTATTTAGTTAACAAAAAGACATACCTCCTAGGCCTTTTTCATAGTAACTTGCTATTGAAAATATAGCTTCTAAATGACCAGATGCTGCTGCTGAAGAAAAGAGTTTTGCTGCTTGATGATTATCAATATTAGTTCCCCATCCATTTTCAAAACACAATCCTAAATAATACTGTCCATCTGTACTCTAAAAAATAAAAATGTAATTTAAATCAAATAGTAATGATAAAATTTACTTTTTTATTTTTAGTCAAAGTATAGAAAAGAAATATGCAGCTTAACTGTTTTGCTTTATTTCTTGGATTATGTTATAAGAGAATAATAGTATAACTGCCATGTTAACATTAATGATAGTTAAAAAAAAATAAAGTTTAATTCTTTTAATTAGAAAAAATCTTTCAATATGTTATACTTTAAAGAAATACAATACAGTGGGTGATCGGTTAACGAACAGTTCGGATAGCGAACAAATCGGATAACGAACACTTTTGAGAAAGATTTTTATGATCGGACAACAAACAAATGTTCGGATAACGAATACTTTACTGAATAAACACAAAAAGAAGTGACGGAAAATAACGAATACCGATTGATTTTCCCTTGTCTTCAGGTAACAATTCGAAACCTTTCGGAGCGTGGGAGACGTAACATCAACTCTCAACTCGATACTGATAGGATAGTATTCCTTCGAATTTTGAAACTCACCCTTGTAATTCCAGCTTTTTGTTTACCTTTCTGACAAATAATTTTTATAGTCTTCGCGAGACTGTCGGACAGGTACTTGTTAAATTTTGCGTCAGGGTTTATTTACGAAAGGTAAAAGGATATTCATTAACGTTTTAATACCAAATTTTGAATTTTATCCGGGCCTTGCATTTAAATAATTTTTTTGGGCTAGTTGATTTCTATTCTCTGAATTTTTGTAAGTGCTTTTCTGAACTTTTTATTTAAAAAAGAAACTGATAATATTATAGAGCCTAAAAAGAGGAGTGTCAAGAACTGTGCTTACCATAGAAACCAAGTAAGAGATAATAGCCAAGGTAGAAAGTGGGCGGAAGATGCCTGATGTTGCTAGGCAGTATGACTCGAACAGGTCTACAGTAGGCACAATCTTAGCTATGAAAGATATATCAAAAAGTCTCGAGCTGCTAATGGAGTAATAAAAATCACATCTGAGAAATAAAGAGCATTTTAGAACTCATAATGGAACCTGAAACTGATCTGACAACAGAACTCCGAGAACTCTCAAATGAACAACACCAAGAAATTCGGCGAGATGTGTTTTCTTTTGAAAAAGAGGAAGACGAAAGAGGACCAATGTCGAAATCTGCTACTAAGATCTTTTCAAGAAGTGAGAGGATGTCATATCATCCAAGTGGCATCAAAACCAGAATAAGGTTAATGGGGTTGAGGATCTCTACAATTATAATACTATTAATTACTTCCAAAAAATCCTGAAGAGAAGAGAAAAGCAATCGACATTGGACAAATTCTTTAACCCCCACAAATGGAAAAACATGATTAATAAAAATGCAAGACTGCATATATATGTATTTTTATTATTACATGTAATTAAACGTGGTAAAAATGTATATATTTTTCATTTTTTGGCGTCTCCGGTACGAATTAATCAAATTCCCATAAAAACCTATGGGAAATCGGTAATCGGTTAACAAACAATTCGGATAACGAACAAAGTCTTGGAACGGATTATGTTCGTTAACTGATCACCCACTGTATTTAATTTAGAAATTAAATGCAAAAGTAATTTTTCAATTTCATTATTCAGAAACAAAAATTTTGATTTATTATTGCAGTATCTTGTCTCAGTTTACATTTTTATCTATTATTTCAATCCAGTAAGAATTAATACTGAAGAAAAAGTTTTAGCTACATTTGCCAGTAGTGATGAATGGGGAAAAACTTGGAGGTCGTTGTCAATCTTTTCACCTCCTCCAAACACACATTCATATACACTATATACTCTGCCGGACAGAAAAAGTGAAGCATAAAACATAAGTCCAAATGGCCCAATCATGTGCCCATAGGTATTACTCCAAAGGGTTATGCAAATGATGATAAAGACAAAATACATGCCACTGAAGCACATGATACAGTGCTAATTGTTACATCTTTGGAGAAAAAACCCTGAACGCCTAGGCTTCAATGGAATAATTCAGCAGTGTTATCACATATCTGTGACTGCACAGTATGCCAGGATGTTGACAACATGTGCAATATCAGCAATTTAATCAATTTTAACACAGCCAGTTTATCAATTTGGCAAATAGCCATACACTTGGGCATAGAATTAGCTAATCAATACAAATAAATTCACTGTCTATCACACTGGAACTACTACAAAAATCGACACACCTGAACCAATTACGGTGTGATCATGCAAAAGATCGGAAAACAAACGTTTTCGAACCCCTTCTGGGTTCTGCTTCAGGTTCTAATCAGCTTCTAAAGACGTTCGATGTCCGTTATAAGTAGAAATTCGATCGTTCATGTCGTTTAAAGCTTGAAATTTAACGTGAAGGACAACAGGTGCGATAGGAACCTGATTTATATAGGCTCCACTAAACGATCTCTGGGAATCAGAATACAAGAGCATCTAGCCGATATTCGGCACGGAAGAACTTCCACAGCCCTCGCTACGTATGTAACTGATCCGGATATAGTAGCGAACTTCTCCCAGGCCATTCTCCTCCATGATTCGCCTCCTATCGAACACCTCAAATGGCTAGAGGCTATGCACATATTTATATCCTCCACCAACAACACGTGCATAAATTTTAAAGAGGAGATGCTGTTATCGATGGCCTGGCAGGAGTTAATTCACAACACGCTCTAATTCGCCCATCAAACTTTGACCGGTTAACCAATCGCGCATGCGCGACTTGGATTACGTGAATCCATTCGAACCTACAACTTAAATTTCAAGCTTTAAACGACATGAACGATCGAATTTCTACTTATAACGGACATCGAACGTCTTTAGAAGCTGATTAGAACCTGAAGCAGAACCCAGAAGGGGTTCGAAAACGTTTGTTTTCCGATCTTTTGCAGGATCACACCGTAATTGGTTCAGGTGTGTCGATTTTTGTCATAGAATTAGCACTGTGACAGTGTATTGCAGCATGGGAAGATACAGGATGAATGTCAAGTAGGTAAAATTAAGGTTCAATACATTACACTACAAAATGTGATTGTAAATGACAAAAGATGAAGACAATTTTGTATCTTCAATATATACAGTTGAACCTGTTTATCTCAAAATTTATTTTTTCCCCTACATTTTTAGTCTAAATTCAATATATTTTCCATGTTTATCTCAAATAATTTTCTCCCAAAACCTCTATATCTCAACTTATGGACTGAAGTGTCAATTACAAATTTAAAGCTCAGGAACTATGTTTTGATAGCAAAAATTGTAAAGTACTAAGTTATTTTATGCCTTTTACAACAATTAGTGACACAACTTTGTGCCAGAAATAGCCGTTACCTAACGGATACTTTACATGGATTCGCATTAAAGTGCCAGACCTGGACTTTAAGCATGCACCGAAAGAAATAACGACAAAGTTAGTCAAAAAAACAATCCAATATTTAATAATAATTCTAGTAATAACTATGTACAAAATTTAGTAACAATCAACAACAAATTTATTCAAAGAAAAATCAATAAGAATCAACCCGACAAAAACTGAAATCAATTTATTTGCTAGCTTAAATCTATTCCTTTTTGAAATTCGACAAAAAAAAATTCAAAGACTTAACTTATGTACAACAATTCTTATGAACTAAGGTCCTAATTGTTACCTCAATATACTAGGAACCTTTTTCCTCAACTCTCAAGACTTTCTAATCTTCAATCCACAAATCGAATAACTTCAAATCGCCTTGGAACCACTTTATTGCTATCAGACACCTCTTGTCATTCACTGCTACGAAGCTCACCACGCTCGTTGCTAACAGAAGCTCACCTCAGTCATCTTCCCTTGAGGTTCATACTTTATACTATGAGGTGACGTCACAATTCTGATTGAGATCACTCCCATCATTTACATACTTATCGCTAACAGTAAACTTTTCCTTTCTGCCTGGCAGCCAGTCTATTTCCCGACAATACTTGCTAACCTTTTACATTATTCTTTTTGACACTTTCCAGGATGTTTTCTTCATTAAGATTTAGCAAGTTCTTAAGTTGTGCTTGTGGGGTCAAACCCCCTCTTTCTCAGTGCGGACTTACTTTTTTCCACTCCGGAGTGCAAGTGTGCGCGAGTTTTTTCTACGGTGCTTTTTTTTTGTAGGTGAGTTGGTTCTTTTTCTTCTATTTTCAAGTTTCTAAGGTAAATGGTGAGGAAGCCTTCGTCCTAACAAAACAAGCCCCAAACAAAATAGAATAAAAAGCAAAATAAAAATAACTAAAAATAATGCTTGGACTTGGTTCTTTACAAAACTGTAGTTCAGAAATATCCCTTCTAATATAGTACATAGTTGCAATTAATGCTGCATTTCTCGCATTGACTATGAGTTTGATTTGCATCTAATTGATTGAAGAAAGTCAGACATTACAACTATTTCTATTGACAAACTATTTCTGTTAAGGTATTTCAAAAATCTTTTATTAATATCTAATAGGTTTGTACTTACTTGCTATTATGCTAATAAAATATTATACCTGCAATCAAACCTATTTCTGCTTACTATGTAGGAACCTCTATATTCTATATCTCAAATTTTTCTCCATTCTTGTGAGATTCAAGATACAGGTTCAATCATATATATATTTATAGTATTTATTTTACTGAAATAAACATTGCTTGCCATGTATTTATAGCAATAAACCTACTGGAACAGATAAAAAGCATTTATTTCAATATTTAAGGGAAATATTAGAAGAAAATGAGTAATAAGGTGATGAGATTGATGGAATCTAAGATCACCAGATTATTCATGTGAATGAAGTTTTATCAGCATCATTGTTAATGTAAAATTTATAGAAAATAAAGATTTTTTCTTCGCTTAATTTATTAAAATGTAGTAAATTAGGAAAATGATTAAGTTTTAAAAGACATTCTTTTAAATAAAAATAATAATTGAATAACTGCTTTATTAATTAATTACCATTCTTAAGATAGAATACCTCAATAGTCTTCATTCTTTATAACTTAATAGATT